ACAGCTGGCTGTGTGAAATCAGCAAAGGCCCAGAAGCCACGGGTGCCTTCATGTGGGTTCACCTCCCACCAAGGGGCAGGGGTAGAGCAAGGCTTCTGCTGCTACCCACTGTCTTTGTGGCCATTGCTGCCACGGATGCAATGCAATGCCCTGAGCGTCTGCCACTTAGCCCAGTTCTTTGTGAGTTCAGCACTTGGTAATGTCACCGAGAAGCAAGGAACCTCACTGCTACTGGGCGTTGTCTTCCACTGCAATGCTGTCCCCACAGATAAATGTTGATCAATGCAAAGTGATGCACATTGGAAACACAATCCCAACTAGACACAGAAAATGATGGGGTCTGAATTAACTGTTACCACTCAAGAAAGAGATTTTGGAGTCATTGTGGACAGTTCTCTGAAAACATCCACTCAAGGTGCAGTGGCAGTCAAAAAAGCAAACACAGTGTTGGGAATCATTAGGAAAGGGATAGATAATAAGACAGAAAATACCATGTTGCCTCTATATAAATCCCTGGTATGCCCACATCTTGAATACAGAGTGCAGATGTGGTCGCCCCATGTCAAAAAAGAGATATTGGAATTGGAAAAGGTTCAGATAAGGACAACAAAAATGATTAGGAGTATGGAACGGATTCCATATGAGGAGAGTTTAGTAAGACTGGGACTTTACAGCTTGGAAAAGAGACGACTAAGGGGGGTTATGATAGAGGTCTATACAATCATGACTGTTGTGGAGAAAGTAACTAAGGAAGTGTTATTTACTCCTTCTCATAACACAAGAACTAGGGTCACCCAATAAAATTAATAGGCAGTAGGTTTAAAACAAACAAAAGGAAGTATTTCTTCACTCAATCTGTGGAACTCCTTGCCAGAGGATGTTGTGAAGACCAAAACTATAACAGGGTTGAAAAAAGAACTAGATAAATTTATTGAGGACAGGTCCATCTATGGCTATTAGCCAGGATGGGCAGGGATGGTGTCCCTAGCCTCTGTTTGCCAGAAGCTGGGAATGGGCGACAGGGGATGGATCACTTGATGATTCCCTGTTCTGTTCATTCCCTCTGGGGCACCTGGCATTGGCCACTGTCGGAAGATGGGATACTGGGTTAGATGGACCTTTGGTCTGTCCCAGTATGGCCGTTCTTACACCACCATTAAAGACGGCTTCTTGGAGCAGCTAGTCCTGGAACCCACCAGAGGAGAGGCAATTCTTGATTTAGTCCTAAGTGGAGCACAGGATCTAGTCCAAGAAGTGAATATGGCTGAACTGCTCAGTAACAGAAACCATAATATAATTACATTTAACATCCCTGCAGGGGGGGAATACTAAAGAGACCCATCACAGTAGCATTTAACTTCAAAAAGGGGAACTACACGAAAAGGAGGCGGCTAGTTAAATGGAAATGAAAAGGAACAGTCACAGAATGAAACGCCTGCAAGCTGCATGGACACTTTTTAAAAACAGTAGGATGTTTTTAAACCAGGCATAGTGACAGAGGATGTGGAAAAAGCTGAAGTACTCAATGCTTTTTTTGCTTCGGTCTTCACAGACTAGGCCAGCTCCGAGACTGCTGCACTGGGCAGCACAGTGTGGGGAGGAGGTGACCAGCCCTCAGTGGTGAAAGAACATGTTAAGGACTATTTAGAAAAGCTGGACATGCACAAGTCCATGGGCCCAGATCTAATGCATCCGAGGGTGCTGAGGGAATTGGCGGATGTGAGTGCAGAGTCATTGGCTATTATCTTTGAAAATTTGTGGCGATCGGGGGAAGTCCCAGGTGATTTGAAAAAGGCAAATATTGCACTCATATTTTAAAAAGGGAAGAAAGAACCCAGGGAACTACAGATCAGTCAGCCTCACTCCAGTCCCTGGCAAAATCATGGAGCAGGTCCTCAAGGAATCAATTTTGGAGGAGAGGAAGGTGATCAGGAACAGTCAGCATGGATTCACCCAGGGCAAGTCATGCCTGACCAACCTGATTGCCTTCTAGGATGAGATAACTGGCTCTGTGGATATGGGGAAAGCAGTGGATGTGATATAACTTGACTTTAGCAAAGCTTTTGATATGGTCTCCGGCAGTATTCTTGCCAGCAAGTTAAAGAAGTATGGGCTGGATGAATGGACTATAAGGTGGATAGAAAGCTGGCCAGATTGTCAGGCTCAACAGGTAGTGATCAACATCTCGATGTCTAGCTGGCAGCTGGTATCAAGCGGAGTGCCCCAGGGGTTGGTCCTGGGGCTGGTTTTGTTCAACATCTTTATTAAAGATCCGGATGATGGGATAGATTGCACCCTCAGCAAGTTCACAGATGACACTAAGCTGCAGGGAGAGGTAGATATGCTGGAGGGTAGGGGTAGGGTCCAGAGTGACCTAGACAAATTGGAGGATTGGGATAAAAGAAATCTGATGAGGTTCAACAAGGACAAGTGCAGAGTCCTGCACTTGGGAAAGAAGAATCCCATGCACCGCTACAGGCTGGGGACCGACTGGCTAAGCAACAGTTCTGCAGAAAAGGACCTAGGGGTTACAGTGGACGAGAAGCTGGATATGAGTCAGCAGTGTGCCCTTGTTGCCAAGAAGGCCAATGACATATTGGCCTGTATATGTAGGGGCATTGCCAGCAGATCGAGGGACGTGATCGTCCCCCTCTATTCAGCACTGGTGAGGCCTCATCTGGAGTATTGAGTCCAGTTTTGGGTCCCCCACTACAGAAAGGATGTGGACAAATTGGAAAGAGTCCAGCGAAGGGCAACGAAAATGATCAGGGTCTGGGGCACATGACTTATGAGGAGAGGCTGAGGGAACTGGGGATGTTTAGTCTGCAGAAGAGAAGAATGAGGGGGGATTTGATAGCTGCTTTCAACTACCTGAAAGGGGGTTCCAAAGAGGATGGATCTAGACTGTTCTCAGTGGTAGCAGATGACAGAACAAAAGGAGTAATGGTCTCAAGTTGCAGTGGGGGAGGTCTAGGTTGGATATTAGGAAACACTATTTCACTAGGAGGGTGGTGAAGCACTGGAATGGGTTCCCTAGGGAGGTGGTAGAATCTCCCTCCTTCGAAGTTTTTAAGGCCCGGCTTCACAAAGCCCTGGCTGGGATGATTTAGTTGGCGATCGGTCCTGCTTTGAGCAGGGGGTGGGACTAGGTGACCTCCTGAGGTCTCTTCCAACCCTGATCTTCTATGATTCTATGATGACCAAAAAAATGCCATCGCAGCTAAAGAGAATAAAAGAGGCAGTTCGAGATAAAAAGGCATCTTTTAAAAATTGAAACTCAAATCCTGCCGGGGACACAGAAAGGATAAACTCCGGCAAGCCTCGTGTAAAAGTATAACTAAGGAGGCCAAAAAAGAATTTGAAGCGCACGTAGCAAAAGACAGAAAAACTAACAGCGATTTTTTACAGTACATCAGAAGCAGGAAGCGGCCAGACAACCCATGGGGCCACTGGATGATGGAGGCGCTAAAGGGGCACCCAGGGAGCCATTGTGGAGAACACGCTGGTTGCCAGGCCCTGGTTGCCAGGCCAGTGGCAGAGGCTGCTCTGGCTCCTGCACCAAGCCAGGGAGTGTGCCCTGGGCTGGCGGGAGCCCCCGACCCCCTCTCTTCCCCCGGCTAGGGCTCAGTCCCGCGGGCCCGCGCGTCCCCGGTTTGTGACCCCTCAGCCAGCAGGGGCTGGGGTGGGTGTCCCGGTCCGGGTACCAGGCTGGGCTGGTCCAGAGGGCAGAGCTGAGCCTGCAGCAGAGCAAGGAGAGGATTGGAGAGTGCCCAGGCGTGGGGGGGGGGAGAATCCCCAGACGGGGTGGACAGGGGTGGGTTGGGAAGAGGGGATGGGCAGGGCTGGGGGCTGTAGGGGGGGGCGGGGGAGTCCTTGGGCGGGGGCTGGAGGCTGGAGGGGCGCGGGGGGGAATACTCTCGGGGGGGGACAGGGGCTGTGTTGGGGGGGAGAATCCCCAGACAGGGTGGACAGGGTTGGGTTGGGAAGAGGAGATGGGCAGGGCTGGGGGCTGTACAGGGGGAAGTGGAGTCCTTGGGCAGGGGCTGGAGGCTGGAGGGGCGCGGGAGGGGGAATACTCTCGGGGGGGGGGGGGCAGGGGCTGGGTTGGGGGGGGAGAATCCCCAGACGGGGTGGACAGGGTTGGGTTGGGAAGAGGAGATGGGCAGGGCTGTGGGCTGTGGGGGGCGGGGGAGTCCTTGGGGGGGGGTGGGGGGGGGGGGGGGGGGGGGGGGGGGGGGGGGGGGGGGGGGGGGGGGGGGGGGGGGGGCGGGGGTGGGGGGGGGGGGGGGGGGGGGGGGGGGCAGGGGAGTCCTTGGGCGGGGGCTGGAGGGGAGGGGTGCGGGGGGCAATACTCTCGGGGGGGGACAGGGGCTGTGTTGGGGGGAGAATCCCCAGACAGGGTGGACAGGGGTTGGGTTGGGAAGAGGGGAGGGCTGGGGGGGGGGCTGGGGGGCAGGGGAGTCCTTGGGCGGGGGCTGGAGGCTGGAGGGGTGCGGGGGGGGAATACTCTCGGGGGGGGGACAGGGGCTGTGTTGGGGGGGAGAATCCCCAGACAGGGTGGACAGGGTTGGGTTGGGAAGAGGAGATGGGCAGGGCTGTGGGCTGTGGGGGGGCGGGGGAGTCCTTGGGCGGGGGCTGGAGGGGTGCGGGGGGCAATACTCTCGGGGGGGGACAGGGGCTGTGTTGGGGGGAGAATCCCCAGACGGGGTGGACAAGGGTGGGTTGCGAAGAGGAGATGGGCAGGGCTGGGGGCTGGGGGCTGGGGGCGGCGGGGGCAGGGGAGTCCTTGGGCGGGGGCTGGAGAGGCGCGGGGGGGGGCAGGGGAGTCCTCGGGCTGGGGGCGGAGCCCGGGGGGGCATGGGGGGCGGGGCGGGGGGCGGGCCGCTCCCGCTCGGGTTGCAGCCGGAGCCCGGACCCCGCGCGGTGAGGGCGGGAGCCGCGGCCCCGGAGCCCCCCCCGCCGCCCTGGTGCTGATGCTGCGCCCGGCCGGGCTGCTGCCGCCGGCGCCCAGCCCGGCCGCCCCCCGGGGCCCCCGCGCCTGAGCCCGGCCAGGGGCGATGCGGCTGCCGGAGAGCGATGGAGAAACTGGCCGCCGGGCTCGCCCAGATCAGCTGGAGCTCGGGGGCGCTGCCCCTGGATGTGATCGTCAGCAAGTGCCGCCTGCCCACGCTGGTGCGCCTGGGGCCAGGTGAGGGGCGGGCCGGGGCCCGGGGGCCGGATCGGGGCCAGGTGAGGGGCGGGCCGGGGCCCGGGGGCCGGATCGGGGCCAGGTGAGGGGCGGGCCGGGGCCCGGGGGCCGGATCGGGGCCAGCGTCGCGGCAAAGTTTCTAGGAGATTTCACTGGGGAAATTTACAAAGAAGAAGAACTCCCCCCGCCCCCTGCCATCTTCTCCCACCCCCCGGCCCTCTCTCCTGACCCCGACCCCCCTGCCTGTCCCCGCCCCGCTCCATGGGAAGCGCTGGGGGTTGTTGCGGCGCCCCCCGCCCGGCTCCTGGGGGCCGGGGTGGGGGGCAGCCCGGGCGGGGGCCGTGGCTGGCTGCCCGGCGGGGGTGCTGCGGGCGGGCCGGGAGAAGCGGGCTGTGCCAGCAGCAGGCGCTGCCCTGAATGCTAATGGCAGCGGCCGGTCCTGCCCGTGTGAATGGGGCCGGGGCTCTGCCCGGGGAAGCGAAAGACTCTGGCCCCGGAGCGCAGACACCTCGCCCCGCAGCTTCCCGGGGCCCCGGAGCAGCCGGGCATGGCCGGCCCCAGTCCTGCCTGCAGGGCTCCCCCAGAGCAGCTGGGAGCTCAGAGCACCAGAGGGTGCTCTCCTGGCGGGAGGGGACATCTGGAAAGGGGGGGCTCTGGGAACTCCCCTTGTCTGGGCGGAGGGGAGTCCCCATCCCGCCCCCAGCAATGCAGGACCTACAGGGTTATTATTTACTTGCATTGCCCCAGCCACTAGGAGCCCTAGCCCTGGACAGGACAGGGGCTGGCTGGGTCCCTCGGCTGGCTTGTCCCATGTTCCTCGGCCAAAGAGCCCAAACCCATCCTGTGGCCGCAGCTTTGTAGGCTGTGTGAGTTGCCAGGGTGGCTGCGGGGCTCTGGCGTGGGTGTGTGCCCCCGGCCATGCGTGTGTCCCCGTGTGTTCTGCATGCGTGTCCGTGTGCAGAACTAGCCCCGGGACGGTGCAGCTCGGAGGAGCTCGGCTCAGACTGGCTCGTGCAGAGTCCTTCGAGAAATGTACGGAGCAGATAAAGTTTCATACAAGGCAGCATCGCTGGCAATAATGGGCAGGAGTTTTCCAAGCCCCTTTCTTTGCCAGCCCGGGGAGGGGCTGCTGAGGGGCAGAGCGGGCGGTGGGGCTGTTGGGTTTCTCCTCTGTAGAGCACTTGGCTGCCAGGTTTTCTTTTTCCTTGTGACTGACTTGCCTCTAAAGCCAGCTCCGGATAATGGCTTGTGTCCCTTTTGTCTGAGAACCTCGGGAGAGCCTAGGGGGCGGGCACAGATGCCAGTCAGTAATAAACAATCCCCACCAGTCTATGGGGCAGAGGAGGGACGGCCAGCCGGCTCTGAGGGATTGGAGCTAGGAGAATGGAGAAGGAAATAAGCCAAGGGGATTTCAGGCTGGAGCCCAGGAATGATCTCCTATGGAATGGAGTGTCCAGCGACATGGTGCAAGCCCCCTCGCTCCATCACTTAAAGCTTAATTGAGCTGAGCCCTGGAGAAGAGACTCATAGGAGCAATGTGACCTGCTTGAGCGGAAGCGGGATGGGCTGGATGGTCCAGTGGGGCTTTTCCAGCTCCTAAATTCTCAGGGTTAGCCCCTGTCTCCCACTCCCAGGGGACGTCGCTTGGCTGGAGCAATGGAAGTTGGAGACAGGTGAATCCAGCATGTCCTTGCTGAGCTTTGAGGCTTGTCTAGGGTTTTCTTCCCTGTGCTCTGGCCCAGGCCCCACCCCCACTGGTCCTAGTTTCACGGCTATACATGTTTTCATCCCAGAGCTCAAGTCTGCATGAGATTTAGTTACAGTGAAAGTCCCTGGGCTGGGATGTTCCTCACTAGGCCCAGTGGCTGCCTGGGATCACAGCTGTGCCGCTGAGCTCTGGGGAATTGTCCTGTCTGGCATAGCATGCTTGAGTGGGAGTTGAGGCAGCTTGCCCTCTTCTCTGGACCACATAAGGGGAATCCAGTCCCCCGAGGCTTACCAGAACCATGGCTGAACTAAGGCAAACTTTCAGCTGAGCCTCCCCCTCAAAGAGCCGGGATTATAGTGCCCATGTCTCTCGCTGATCAGTTAGACGCCGGGTACCAGAACTCTGTTGTTTGGCTGGAATTTTATTAACTGCCAAATTCAAACTCAGCTGGACAAAAGCCTGGAGTTCTTACATGTGACATGTGCTCCTCTGAAAGTGACCCGGCAACGGTGCTGTGGGGCTGCACGCTTCGTGTCAGACGCGCTTGGGTTACAAGTAAGAAGCTGTGGGTGTTTCTTCCTGGCGCCAGGCCTACAAACCCCACCTGGAATCTGAGACAAGAGCAGGGCTTGTTCCTTCCCGTTTGTAAGTGCCTGTAATAAAGGTTCTGCAAGCAGAGCTGTAGAATCCTAGAAGTGTGGGGCTGGAAGGGACCTCGAGAGGTCGTCTAGTCCAGCCCCCGTGCTGAGGCAGGGCCAAGTAAACCTAGACCAGCCCTGACAGGCGTCTGTCCAACCTGTTCTTAAACACCTCCAGTGACGGGGATCCCACAACCTCCCTGGGAAGAGGATGCCAGGGCTTAGCTAACTTTATACTTAGAAAGTTTTTTCTGCTATCTAACGAAAATCTCCCTTGCTTCAGATTAAGCTCATTTCTTCTTGTCCTTCCTTCAGTGGACATGGAGAACAATTGATTGTCATCCTTTTTATATCAGGGGGTAGCTGTGTTAGTCTGTATCCACAAAAACAACGTGGAGTCCAGTGGCACCTTAAAGACTAACAGATTTATTTGGGCATAAGCTTTCCTGGATAAAAAACCACTTCGTCAGATGCTTTTTATGACAGCCCTTAACATATCTGAAGATTTATCAGGATCCCCCTTAGACTTCCTTTCTCAGCACTACACATGCCCCATTTTTTAAACCTTTCCTCAGGGGGCAGGTTTTCTAGAGCTTTTGTTAGTTTTGTTTCTCTTCTCCAGACTCGCTCCAATTTGTCCACATCTTTCCTAATGTGCAGGGCCCAGAACTGGACATAGGGCTCCAGCTGAGGCCTCCCCAGTGCTGAGTAGAGCAGGACAAATTATCTCCCGTGTCTTACATACGCCACTCCTGATAATACACCCCAGAATGCTATTAGGCTTTATTGCAACTGCATCACATTGCTGGCTCATATTCAATTTGTGATCCACTGTAATCCCCAGATCCTGTTCAGCGGTGTTACTGCCTAGCCAGTTGTTCCCCATTTTGTTTTGATTTTTCCTTCCTAAGTGTAGTACTTTGCATTTGTCTTTATTGAATTTCATCAGGTTGATTTCAGACCAATGGTCCAGTTTGTCGAGGTCATTTTGAATTCTAACCCTGTCCTCCAGAGTGCTTGCAGCCCCTCCCAACTTGGCGTCATCTGCAAATTTGATGTGTGTGCTCTGCACTCCGTTGTCCAGTCATTAATGAAAATATTGACCAGTGCTGAGCCCAGGACTGACCCCTGTGGAACCCCACTAGATACGATCTCCCAGGTGGACAGGGAACCAAGTGCCCAGGGGCCCGGGCAATTTAAAAGGGCCCGGGGGTCCCCAGCTGCTGCTGCCAGCAGTGCAGTGGGGTTAAGGCAGGCTTCTTGTCCGCCCGCGCTCCGTGCCACTCCCGGAAGCGGCTGGCACGTCCTGCGGCCAATGGGAGCTGCAGGGGCAGTGTCTGCAGCCAGCGGCGTGTGGAGACCCTTTGGGCCCCCCGCCTGGGAGCCGCTGCCGGAGGGGTGAGCCAGTCGCTTTCAGGAGCCGCCCGAGGTAAGCACCTACCCCCGATCCCCTCCTGCACCCCAAACCCCTGCCCCAGATCTAGAGCCTGCTCCCAAACTCCCTCCCAGAGCCCGACCCCTTACCCCCTGCCCCAGCCTGGGGAAAGTGAGTGAGAGTGAGCAACGGAGGGAAGGGGGATGGCATGAGCAGGGGGCGGGGCCTCAGAGAAGGGGCAGGGGCGTGGTTTCAGGGAAGGGGCAGGGCAATAAGCGAGGCAAGGGTCTTTGGATTTGTGCGATTAGACAGTTGGCACCCTACCGAGCGGGCATGTGGAAGCCCTGGCTGTGCCGGAAGAGCCTGCCCAGCACCGCCCAAATGTCAGCATCTGTGCATGGGGGCCCATTGACTGTTCTGCCCTGGGGCCCAGAATTGCTGTCAACGGGCCTGGAACCAGTGATAACTACTCTTTGAGTCCGGTCAACCAGTTGTGCACCTACCTTACAGTAATATCATCTAGCCCACGTTTCCCTAGTTTGCTCATGAGAATGTCATGTGGGACAGTGTGAAAAGCCTCACTAAAATCAAGATCTATCACATCTACTGCTTCCCCCAGCCACTAGGCTAGTAACCCTGTCAAAGAAGGAAATTAGGTTGATTTGGCATGATTTGTACTTGGCAAATCCATGATGGATGTTCCTTATCACCCAGTTATCGTCCAGGTGCTTACAAACGGATTGTTTAAAATTTGTTCCAGTATCTTTCCAGGTATAGGAGTTAGGCTGCCTGGTCTGTAATTCCCCAGATCCTCTTTGTTCCTGTTTTTAAAGACAGGTCCTGTGTTTGCCCTTCTCCAGTTCTCTGGGACCTCACCCATCCTTCAGCAGTTCTCAAAGATAATTGCAAATGGTTCTGAGATTGCTTCAGCTACTTTCTTTAGTACCCTGGGATGAATTTCATCAGGCCCTGCTGACTTGAATCCATTGACTGTATCTACATCTCCTTTAACCTGATCTTTCCCTAGTTTAGCTTCCTTCCTTCCCCTCTCACAAATCTTGGGAGACAGGCCAGTCCTTGCCTACAGACAGCCCCCCAACCTGAAGCAAATACTCACCAACAACCACATACCACACAACAGAACCACTAACCCAGGAACCTATCCTTGCAACAAAGCCCGTTGCCAACTGTGCCCATATATCTATTCAGGGGACACCATCACAGGGCCTAATCACATCAGCCACACTATCAGAGGCTCGTTCACCTGCACATCCACCAA